TGCAGCAGTTCCCCATGGAGCAGCAATCAGCCCCTTGCTACACTATTTGATTGTTCTTTTTAAAGCTGGTGAAGAGCTTTCTCACTGAGATCTGCAGCTGTAAACACCTGAAAGGAAATGCATAAATATTGCCTGCTTCTGACTTCTGTATATAAGCATGGACACCCTGAGATAAAAAAGTTTCTGAATATTATTGCTCTTCACTAGACAGTCAGACTTAAAGATCCAAAGTGAACTCTAGATTGCTTGTAGGAAAATAAGATTTCAGTTTTAAATTGCAGAAGTTTGCACCTGAAACAAAAACTCTGTCATATTTTTCTCCCTGGCTATAGCCTGAGCTGTGCCAGATAGTTCAACCATGTGGCTTTAGATGTCCACCAACAACTGTCAACACTGCTGATTCCTCTGGCTGTATCTCCCAGAAGGTCAGGTAAATCTTGCCAAGCCAGCACTAGCTGGACAATTTTCACCTCATCAGCCAACCTGCTGAATCTGCAAATAACATCAAGAAAATGCCCCCAAAGCAACATATTTTGGAACAGGACAAAAAAAAAAAAAATCAATCATTTTGTTCTGTCAGTGGTGAGCATATGGTTTATGTCCTTTCATTACAAACTTGGATATCATCCCATTTGGCACTTGAAAAGTAAAAATCCATCCCAGCTATGAATATTACTTTATTGTGACTCGGGCTTTGGAGGTTTGCAGGTTCTCCACTCTTTTCCACAGGGCTTGGTTTCCAGTGCTGCTGGAAACATGAGCTGCTCTCTGTCACCTCCTTTGCCTTCCATCTCCCAAGGGTGGCACCTGATTTCTGGGCAGAACATCTCTGCCCTCCCCTGCACTCCCTGGAGTGTCAGTATTTCATGGACCTTGGAGGTCTTGCAGTGCATCCTCTCAGAGGCAGAACCATCCCTCCTGCCTTTGTAATAACCTTGCAAACAGATCTATAGCACTTCACAGTATTTCATTTCAGAGGTTCCCGTTTAGAAAAGAGGCACTGAAAATCCATAACAATTGAAATATAGTGGAATTTGAACCAAGGTCACACTAGCTTGAGAGATGACCTGCCGTGTTCAAAATTAGCCTTACCCAATGCATGTGCTGCTCAGTTTGCAAGTGATGCTCTGACCCCCTGAAATTCAGAGTGACAAAAAGAAAAATGTTTGCAGGAAGGGGTGGACTGGGCAGAAGGATATGATCGTTTCACCTGTCCTCATGCATAAAACAGGCCAGACCAAACATTGCTCTGAAATTCCTCTAGTGAGATCATAGATCCTTCTCTGAGCTCCCTTTACCTCTCTGAAGGGTCAAGAAAAAATCCAGAAAAAAAACCCCAACTTTATTGACCTCTACAGGGACAAATTTCCAAGGTGCCTTGGGGCAGAACAAAAAAAAAATCCATGTTTTTCTATGTTATAAGCATGACTGCATTCCTGCCCAGCAAGCAGGGCTGATTGCTTCTCCCAGCTCCATTAATACATTATTGGCATTTTATACATGGAAAAGGTGACCTATTGCTTTGGCTGCTAATAGATCTCCCAGCCAGGAATGTCTCTGTGAACCAGCTTTCTCTCTTTGGAGCCACACTGGTTGACCTCAGAGCGTTGTTTTTCAAAGGATTTTGCAAACCTCTCACAGAACAGCTGCGTGATGAACTTCTCTACCAGTTTTGTCCTAATTGATAAGGACCATAAACAGGTTTAGCCTAAGCCAGAGTAAATAATCTGGTGCTGGGGGAGGCTCAAGGCTGGATGTGGGCAGGGAAACTCGCTCTGGTTTTGCTGTGGCCGAGCTCTTGGGTAAAAGACAGAGGGTTTTGTAAAAGGAAAAAGGGCAGCATGGAGGGAGGTGGGAGTAAGCAGCTGGAGGCAGCCACATCTAAAGGAAATCAGGGTGATTTGGTTTCTCAAAGCTGTCTTCAAAGGACACGTTTAATGCTGCTCCAAAGTTTTCTGAAAAATGCAGGTTCATTAAAATGGAAATTTTCTGCAGGAATGTGCCCACTCCAACAAGGGCTGATCTGAAAACCCTGAAATAGTGAGCTCAGGGGGGGTGGCAGCAAACCCTTCAGCAAACCCCTGGGCTGGAGCACTCAAAGTTAATTTCCAAAGGATTTTTTGGCATCACAACCAGAAGGAGATTTTTTCACGTTGAAGGCAGCGTGCAGCCATCCCCTCCCTTTGAAACAGGAGCTCTGGTAGATCTAATCCCTTTGCCAATCCGCTCTGGCAGAAAAAACCTGGAAATATTCTACCAGGAGCCTAAGCCTGTGTTAATATTTTTAATTTCAAAACACTTGATTTCCTAATTCCTGTGCTGTCTAGTCATGGACATCCCACCAGCCATCCAGGAGTGCTGCTGGTGCCAGGCTTTGCCAAACCACCACAGATGCAGCAGCCAAGAGGTGCCAGAATCACCTCAAGCAGGGCTGGCAAATAGTGACAAATACACCTGCTCTGCCTTGCATTTGTCCAGTGTCTACTACATTAAAAAAAAAAGAGGGGAAGAAGCCTAAGTAATGGATTTTTTTCTGCTTCATTTTACTCCCACCTTCTCTGCCCCCTGTAATCTGATTTTTTACACCTCATTTATGTGTTTTTATTCAGCTCATCTTTGTGTTTTCTTTTTTTTTCACACCTTTGGATCAGCTCTCTCCCCATGTCTGGCACCTGTGATTATATCCTTCAGCTTCACAATGCAGACTTGCAGAGCAGCATTTAATAACAGGGAGGATTTGACTGACTGGAGCTTTGATAATGGTGGTGGGAAAAGCACAATCACTGCCTTTTTGACAATATACTTTGCACAGAAAGCGTTCGACAGTGTCACAATCTGATAAAAAAATTCCCAGATTCCACCCATAATTATACCTTCTCTCCTTTACCTATCCACCTTCTTTTCAAAACTAAGCTATTGTGGGTGACACCAGTCTCCAGGAAGGTGGGGGTGGTGGGACACAAACCTGGAGAGAGACACAGAGGAGGAAGAGTTCCATTCCCCACGATTCTGCTCTGCCTCTCTACCTGCCCACCCTCCCACCTGACACCTTTTTCTCAGCCATGGGCAGCACCATCTGGGATGGGGTGAGGTTTTAGGATGAAAAAACATCACCTGGTCGGTGCCATCTCTAACAAAGAAGAAGACTGAAGGATTTTCAGGAATTTAGAAAGCCATGTGAACCAAGAGGTCTCACAGTGTTCGATCACCAGAGTCCTTGTTGGGAGGAGGAGGAGGAGGAGGAGGGACTGTGGATGTTCAGCTACTGCTGAAAATAAGCTGCATGTGTGCTCTGCTGCCTTGGGGCTTCTCAGGGTGATGGACCCCACAGAAGCTCTGAAAATTACAAAGAACATCAAGAAAATGCCCCAAAAGCAACATGAGGGTGGCAGGCCATAGCCCTAAGGCATGCAGGGTGCTGCCCAGCTTTGGCTGGATTTTGGGTTAAGTCACATGCCCTTAACTGCTCCAAAACCATTTACAGACACAGGATGGACTGTCCAAAGTCCTTCAGGAGATGTCCATGCCCAACTCTGGCAGGCAGAGATTGGGGCCATGAATGTGCCCCAGCAGCACCGAGATCTCAGGACATCCAACTGCTTTTGGGTGCAAGGAGGGGACAGGGCTGGAGCCACCCCCTCCCTCCACCCATCCAAACACTGCTAAGCCAGAAGCTGAGACCTCCCAGCACTGATCTTCTGATTTAAGCCAGTTTAAATAGAAATAAGCCAGGAGTCTGGGGGCTGCAGTGGCTGAGGGGGGTTTGAGGCACTCCCAGTGCTGCTGCAGGCAGTGACAGGCACTCGAGTCCCTGCTCTGCCATTCCCCACACTTTGTCTCGCTGAATTTCCAGTAAAGCAGGATGCTGCAAGCAGCAATGCTGGCAAGGGACCAGCAGTGTTTTTCAGAAGCATCCCTGGGAAGAGAATCAAGTCCAGGCTGTCCCAGCTGATGTGGATGGGATACACCTGATGTTAAATGGCTGGGGAAGCAAGAAGCTGAGCAAACATCCAGGAAGGTTGTAAGGATGGGGGTTACTGGCATCAGCTTCTTAATACAGTAATGTGGAAAAAAATCTGCTGTTGTGATTGTGGAGGGCTTGGCCTTTGGCAGGAGGGGCTGTGGTGGATACAGCACTCACAAGACCCTGCTCTTGACACAGGAGCTGCTGCGGGCAGGGGAGGCAGAGCTGTCCCCAGTGCTCAGACAGAGCCAGACAACAAATCCAGAGTCACAGAATCATGGAATGGTCTGGCTTGAAAGGGACCTTAAAGATATCTCATATTCACCCCCTGCTTTGGATGTTCAGGGACATGTTCCACCCAACCAGGGTGTTCCAAGTCCTGTCCAGCCTGGCCTTGGGCACTTCCAGGGATCCAGGGACAGCCACAGCTGCTCTGGGCACCTGTGCCAGGGTCCTCAGCATCCTCACAGTGAAGAATTTCTTCCTAACATCTAATCTAAATCTCTCATCTCTTAGTTTAAAAGTATTCCCTCATGTCCTATTGCTATCTACCCTTGTAAAAAGTCACTTTCCCTGCTCTTTCATGAGCCCTGATTAAATTCTGAAAGGCTGCTGTGAGGTGTCCCCGGAGCCTCCTCCTCTCCAGGTGAGCACCCCCAGCTCTCCCAGCCCTTGGAGCAGCTCCAGGGCCTCCTCTGGAGCCAGCAGGTCCATGTTTTTCATGAGCAGAGCACTCCAGACCCAGGAGCAGCATTGCAGTGTCAGGTATTCACCCACATCTGCTCAAGGATGGAACCCTTTCTAAAAGTTTATGCCAAAACCTACAGGAACATCACCCTCTGACCCACTGCTCACTTCAGATGTTTTCTATGTGCAATGTGTTTAGTTTTTCTTTTATATTAACCTGAATGTAACTTAAAAGCAGAGCTGTTCTCACTTCTGTTCTCTTCCATTCCCCAAACCAAAACACCTAATTTATCATTGAATGAGAGATTTTTGGTAACTCTAAATTTTTATCATCCGCCCAGGGGGGAAAAAAAAATGTTCATCCAAAGCATTACGTTTTGTTTAGGCAGTAAATCCAAAGGAAATCTGTATTTCACACAGCTTTAACAGGAGCTCTCGTTTTAAATAACAGACTGAAAAAGGAAATAGCTGCTCATAAACTGTGAATAGCTGAAGTAGTAGAATATCAGAGTAATGCAACAAACATTCACTGACTTATTTTTTCTCTCTGGGTGGTGATCAGCCCACCCTCCAGCGTGGGCTCTTTGCCTGTAGCCCTAAATCAGCACTGCAGCCACACAATGGGGTGGGGATGTCAAGGATGCAAAGGAATATGAAACAACTCCATGCTGGTCGCTACTTTTGTCATCCCATTGTGCTATTCCTTTTGGGGGAATCGTGTTTTTACACTTTATTACCCAGGGCTGGGTCCTGCTCCGTGAAAATCGATGGCAGCCGAGCTGGCAGTCGTTTGGTTATGGCCTTCCAGGCAGCTCCGACACTTCTGGGAATCAGGAGCACAAGAATAATGCCTTTCAATAAGCAGCTTATCGACCAAGCAGGAGTTAAGTGAACCTGTGGTGTGCTTCTCAAGTTTCTCTCCTCTCACATGATTATTGCACTTTAGTCCTGCTTTGCTTTTGTTCTTTGGACAATCAATCCCTTGGAAGGACTCGCCCCAGCCCAGCTGGGTGTGCTGGAGTAAAGGGACAGTGGATTTCTCCCCTTGGTCCCACCAGCTCTTTCCTCTCTAAATTCTGGGATCACAGGCTGCCACACCAGGAGCCAACCCCTGGAGATGGATTTCCACAACCTGATCTTCAGAGAGGCTGCACAAGCTTCAGCACAAAGATTTTCCTTGAGAAGCACAGGAGACATTGTCCATGCTTCCTCCTAACTCCTTTCAATAATTACAATAAAGGCACTGCAAAGGAATCCAGGGAGGAAAAAAGCAAAGTGCAAAAGCAAAGTCAGACACAGTTTTGATTTTTTTCAGGGTTGAAATGGAGAAGCCCAGCAAGAAACAGTCTGATGAGTCACAGTAAATCCCAAAGTGGGACATGGCAGCCCTTGTGTTTTCTCTTTGGGGATGAAGTGATCACCTCTCAGCTCTGCTCTGGATGTCCCATACCCATTGCAAACAAGGCCAGGTGGACCCCCTCAGCTGATGGACTCCAGAGCAGCTCTGTGCTCCAGCTCTGACCTCAATGCCTCTCACCACAGGGCTTCCCACAGACATCCCAAAGCAGAGGAAGGAAATCTTAATGCAATTTATGCTTCAGAAGAGACCCAGCACTGAAAGTCTGCAGGACCTGGGAGCTGTTAAACACCTCCTCATGTAACTGAGTCTGCTCTGCAGAGCCAACAGCTCCTGACCTCTGCCTGGCACCAGGCAAGGCACACAGCCACCCTCAGAGGTTTGATTTCTTTAATGCCATTATCTGCTACATTTTACAGCAGTCACAACAATATCTGACACTCTCAAAGACAGGAAGCATCCATGGATTACAACCTGTACCCTGCAGGTCCTCTGTGTTGTGCAAAGCAGAATTGAAAGCATTATTTAAGCTGCAGCCAGGGACCATTTCATTGACCAAGAGAAGAAGAGGTGAAAGCATGTTGTAGGTTTCTCCTGTGCTCAAAAGCTGCTCCTGTGCCTGTGGTGTGCACATCTGCTGTGCAGGGCACCTGCTGCGGGACGTGTGGGAAGATTTTAATTACTCACCATGGCAACCTGGTTAATAGCTGTAATCCCCCACAATCAGCTGGGTTGGTCCTTCTTCCACATCTGCAGAAATACCTCCAGGAAGGACATTCATACTGTAGATCTGCTCTTGGGCACTGATGCCAACTGTGGAGCCTCAGCGTGAGGCCTCGTGTGAAACGGGAACACATCCCTGGAAGTCAAGGACAGACTGGATGAGCCTTGGAGCAACCAAGGTCTAGTGGAAGGTGTCCCTGCCCATGGCAGGGTTTCTAAAGTCCATTTAAATCCATTAAATCCATTTAAGTCCATTCCAATCTGAACTTTTCTATGGCTGTAACAACCAGCCTGCCCCATCTGCGGGAGCTCTTTGCTCCAACTGTCCAGGCCAGGTCTAGGGGCCCCCACCATCCACAGAGCCTCCCATATTCTCACACCTCTGGCAGCTGAAACAAGCTCATCTTGTTGTGCAATGAGCCAGCTTGTAGCTGTTACAGGTTGGCTTATCCTGAACTCATTGATTTTACCCCATTGATCCAAAGTTCAGATTAATTTGAAGCTAAACCTCTCCCATCAGTGTCAGGGAGATGGCCCTCCAGGAATCAATGCTGGAGAAATATCGTGTCCCTCCTGCCAGCAGACACCCCTGAGCCACACACCTGCATCCTGCCCTCCTGCTGCTGCCAGCAGCTCTGCCCAGGAGCAGCTGGGAGAGCCTGTGGGTTGTGCCAGCAAGATATCGACCACTCTGAATTCCTGCAAGCAAGGACAGACCCTGGGAAGCTCCAAGACAAAGTGCAAATTCCCAAAGGAAAAAAGAGCAGAAGTTGCCAAACTGCCTGACTGACCCAGCAGGGGTGGATGAGGAAAGTTCTGCCAAATTCAGTCCAGAGCTGCTAAAAGCCATGACCAAACCATGGAGAGGAGACAGGGATGCACCATCCAAGCACAGCTTTGGTGATTTCACCTCTCAGTCCATAAAGGTGATCTGGGCCACTGCCAGAACCACCACAGCCACCCTTGGCTTTTGAGTTCCACTTCTAAACATGCCACAGTCAGCTCCAGATCCATAGGGACAGATGAGGCAGGCAGGAACAATGGCAGCGTGGTAAGGGTCACTCCTACCATGAGAAAAAGGCTTTGTCCAGCAGCCAACATTTGAGGCTTTCTTTCCCCTTCCCCACAGAATTCTCCTTTCCCACTGTCCTTCCCTGGGGATGTGCAAGAGTTGATTCCCAAAGGCATCGCTCTCCTCTGGGTGGGATCCACGAGTGCCTGGCCCTGCCTCACCTGTCCTGCACATCCTGAGAGATTTGGGCTGCCTGAAGCCACAGGTGACCAAATTCCACGTAAATACAATAGAAGCAGTCCTGAATGGCTGCCAGGTCCTAGGGAAAATGGGATTAGGCTCAGTTGGCTCTTCTGCAGGGAGGAGGAGAGAAGAAAAAAAAAACAGAAAGAAAAGAAAGAAAAAAATAACAAGAACAATGTTACATTGTTAATAGATTACTCACTCTTATTTTAATTAAATGTCAAAACAGAGCCCTGAAACCTGAGAAGAGACACTTTAGCAGAGGGCAGTCACGGGGAACCAAATCTTAAAAACCATGAAAGACCTGATTTATACCAGAGGGCAATAAAACATCAGTGGAAAAAGAAGTGCAGTGTCAGTAGGAGCAGACTGTCATCTCACCTTTGACCCTGGTTTATACTGGTGTGTTCCTGCTGGTTTTCATCTGGAGTTACTGGTGTAATTGGAACAAATGAGTCCCAAGACTTTGATTGTGGGAAGAAGATCGTGCTTGGACACTGCTGAGCACCAGCCCAAGTAAATATCCTGGTTTTGCTGTGGGCCAGGGACTTTTAACCCCTTCCACAGGCATTTGAACCCCCAAACCCCAAACCCCAGCAGGTAATGAGTGTGAGATGGCCTCAGCAGGGCCTGGACACTAAGGGGTATTCAAAGGGGGGAAAAAAACCCTCCAGGAAATAAGTTTTGCTGATTTTGTGCTGAATCACACAATTACACACAGAGCTTCAGCCCACTGGGAATTAGAGACCCAGGTTATAAAATCCCTGAGAAAGGGACCTGCTCATTAAATCCTGTTGAGCAACTGGGCTGCTCCAACTCTCAAAGCAGCTTCATCCCAGCTGGGCAGAGGCTGTAAGGGTGGGCAGGGCTCTGTGTGTGTGAGCACAAACCAGATGCAAGCTTAATTGTTTCAGCTTGACTCCCATTATGAATGTTGCAATTGTACACCTATCTGGGAGTTGAAATAAATATCCCAGAGAGGAGTTACAGGTATTTAACCAGACCTGTGGAGGAGCCAGCTCCTCTTTCTCATCTCCAACACCCAACTGAGCTGCCTTGGGTGCATGGTCCACAAAGATCACTTTGCTTAGATGCCAAGGCAGAAATAAGCTGGGCTCTTTCAGGGGGCACTTACACACTCAGCTGTCATTTAGAGCAAAAGAAATTCAGAAACTCCAGGCATGGAAACTCATAGAAACTACAGGCACGACAAGCAGCAGCAGAGCAGTTGCTTCATTTCAGCAGGCAGTTTCTATTTCTCCCCTTTCTGTTTTGTTTTGCAGAGTGAGGAAGCAGCTGAGTAAGTGTGAAAAGCCGTAAGAGCAGTCTCTCTCCCAGGCAGCTGGCTGGTTCAGTGTAGGTTGATGGAATGATAAGACACTGTTTGAACATAGTTGTAGCTATAGGGAAGAAGAAAGCTGGAAATTTGCTGGCAGGTGAGATGGGGAGCTGAAAAAGATACAAGGTCAAAGGGCAATATGTCTTCAGGAAATGCTGGTGTAATACTGCTGGAAAATCTGCAGAGATAGAGTTGAAATTTGTCTACATCTTCTTAAAGATGGGGCAGATCACAGCTCGAGGAATTTGGTCATTTTAAACTTCAAAATCCAGAAGGTGGATGTGTCCTGCTGAACCTGTGCTGGTACTAAACAGGGTCAGCACAAGCTGAACACGTTCCCTGCATCTGTGAGAGCTCAGGGCCCTACATAGGAGGGGAGAAAGGTGGTTTGGGGCATTGGTTATTTTGGTGTGTAGTTTTGATTGTTCATTTTTAAAGCCATAGCAATTTCCTCTGATAAGATATTCTCTCCTGGCTCTTCCTTACATTTATGCCACTTTGCAGAGTGATGAGAATTGAGAAGTTTCATGGGTAAAGGTAAAAAAAGGTTTCTATCTTTACAAACATTCCATGTTAGGGAATCAGAGCTGGAGACCCCAAAGAAGATTGTGGGAGATAAAATTTAATGGAAAGCATTTTTCAGTGAAACACAAGAAAGAAAAAGCCAGACTGCTTTTGATGGGAGGTGGGAACCATAGCACAGCATGACAAGGGGTTTCTTCACTGCTTTCACAGGAGACAGCACAGCCCCAGGCTCTGGCATTTGTGAGGAATTCAGAGCTTTGGTCCTGTGTCTGTTTGGGTTTGGATCCTTGCTGGGAAGGGCTGCCCTGGCCTGGCTGCTCCACATCCCTCCCACAGCTCTTGGCAGTGCAGGGAACTTACAGGGATGCCCAGGGGTCACATATGGGCTCATTAATTGGGAAACATTGAGAACTCCCTAACGGGAAAAGAGAAATCTGGAAGGCTTGTCATGCTTCCTCCCACTCCAACATGAATGTTTAAGGCATGAGGCACCTGAGCAGCCTTGGGGAGCAGTGACAGCATCTCCCAAACAGGAGCAGGGGGTGGTCCCCACCACACAGTCCCTAAAGCAGGCAGGACCTGGATCCAGTTCCAGGGACACCCACCAGGCAACAGCCCCCTAAAAACTGGGAAGACTCATAGACATGAACAGGATCAGGCATCTGAGCCATTAACAAAACAACACTCTATAAATCAGGCATTTTGGGCTCTTTTGAAGTGCTCCTAAGAGCAGTAAATTTTAACAGCCTTTTCTTCCCTAATACTACCCTGCATCCCCTAGGTTAGACTGTCTGGACCCAAGGGACTTGGTGGCCCCAGCCACTGCTCACCACAGGATGCTATGAATTAAAACAATATTCCGAGCAATTAATCACAGTGTTTCTCTACTGAAAAGTGGAAGGTGTGAGCAGGGAGAGAGAAGGAGGAGAAGGAGAAAAAAATTGAAAAAGAAAGACAAGAAGCTTATCTAAATCTATTTACATGGAATGATTATTCAATTAATTTTTTCATTACACTTGCCAAAATGAATTGCTTGTGTCTTTTATGCTGTGTGTGAGATTTCATTAATAATTAATAGCAGCAGCTCTTTCTCCTCTGCTTGGCAAGTGGGAGCATTGGTCTTTGGAGGTCACACCCCACACGTGCACAGCCCGGAGGGGTGGCACTGTGCTGCCCCTGAGGTATGTGGGGATAAACTCGTGCCCAGCTGCTGTCAGTGGGCTTTCACCTCCAGCAGGGTGGTGTTTGCCACTGCAGATGCTGTGTGCAAGCCTCCAGCCTTGCCTCTCTCCCCACCAGGGGTGTTTGACCCTCCCATGTTGCCACCAGACCTCACAGAAGTCGCCTCTGGCAGCTGCTGTGGGCAGGGATCCCGGGATCTGTGCAAGGGAAGGATCAACACAGCATCCTCAACTTGTCTGGCACTTCTGGAGCTAGAATTATCAAAATCTGGATTCAGTTCCCAGCTCAGCTAGATTTTTTTGTCTCTGTGGGCAAGTGACTGAGCCTTGCTCTGCTCTAGTTTGCCATCTACAAGCTGGAGTCAAGTTACAGCCTTTTTTTTCTCACCATTATTTTGACTTGTCTACTTACATTACAATCTTTTGGGAGAAGAGGCTGTACATGCATATCTACCAAATCTAATATAAGTGATCTAATCCTGGTAGATTTCTCTAGGTATTACTGTCACACAGATTCCAAGGGCTGTGTCTATATAGACAGCTTAACCCACTCCCAGGCGCCAGTAAGTGACTTATCTCAGCACTGCGCCCATGAACCGAGCTCTCTGACTGTTTTACATTTGAATTTCAGAACCTCTGCTCCTGTTCCCTGGGATTTCCAAGCCCAGAGACCTGATCCAGGCAACCCACCCCGTGCCTGTGGGTGCAGGGCATTGCCAACATTTGACTCCAGAGCAGGATCTACCATCTGTAGAATAATCAGTCTCAAGGAATGATACAAGTTGTATTTATATAGGAAAGTTAGCTCAATCACCACCAGTTTTATTCACTCTAATAAATGAGCTAAAAAGGGTTATATCTTTTCTGTGCTGTGGGATATTATTTTTTCATTCTTATTTAATTAAGAGCAGGACTCAAACATTTAAAGTTCTCTACCTCCCCTTCAAGGACAATACTGTCCCACCTGCAGGGTGAAGAGAGACCTGTGATCTTGGCAGCCGAGCCACTTCCCTGGGGAACCAAGCTGCTCTGGCATTTTTTAATAGATATTTCCCCTCTCCCCATTTCTCACAGACACTGTCAGGCCCTGCCATGGCTCTGCTCAGGGCTCTGTGGTCCATCTCAGGCCTAGCTCAGAAAATTTTGCCCAGGGCAAACCTCACCCAGGCCCTGGAAGAGAAGAGCTGCTGCTGCCACGTGTGTGTCCAAGGCTGGACACAGGGATACAGGAGGGATGAGCAGATAAAGTCACCCCCACAGCCATCCAAACCCCTGCTGCCCTCCCCCTCCATCCTGCTCTCTCCTTTGGGATGGCTCAGCCTATTCTCACTTTGAGTTCAAGGCAGAAGGCAGAGCAGCAGCCTGTGCAGGCGCTGTGTCCGTGCTGCTGCACAGCTCCAGTGCCACGTGTGCTCCAAGGTAAAGAGGGAGCGCTGGGGACTGTGGACACAGCTTTGATTTTATTTTAAAGGCTTTAATATTTGGAGCTGTACTGATTTATCTCAGCATGCCAGCGTACCACTGGTAACTAAGCAACACCGATCCTCTCTATTCCAGGAAGCTCACGGGATTTTTGCCTATGAACAATATTACTTTGTGTATATGAAGCTAAATGGACCATAAGCACTATTTGTAAGTGGAGGATATTTCAGTTCCATACTCTTTTTTTTTTATTTCTTGTTGCTTGTTATTTTTTTCTTGGCCTGGAATAGATTTGCCAGAACCACACATGGGTCTGAGACAAGTTGCAAACTGAGCACACCACGACCTTGTGCACTATGTTTTGCACTGACAAACACTTCCAATTAAGAAGCACAATTACCTCAGAACCACAGGTTATTCTGAGTTGGATCCCACAAGGATCATCAAGTTCAACTCTTAGCTCAGTGCATCTCCAAGATATCCCCAAGAATCCCACATGTGCTTAAGGCACCATCCAAACACTTCAGGAGCTCAGACAGGCTCGGAGCTGTGCCCATGACCCTGGGGAAGCTGTTCCTGTGCCCAGCCACTGTAGATTTGTTATATAAAGAGTGTCACCAGGGCAAACAGAAAACTCCTTTGTGCTTTCCAACCCTTCTTTAAGGAACCCAAAGAAATCAAGTCCAAAATCCAACTAATTATGAAATAACAGAAAAAAGGTAAGCACACTGGGAATAGCACTGTGCATCAAGCCTGATGCTCAGAGCACCTTAGAATTAATGCTTTCAGTTCTCAAAAAAACTCCTCACACCACAACAATACTTTAATTCCCCATTAAAAAAAAAAAAATCAATATATATTAATGACACATCACCTGGCAACACAAGAGAGGAGATGCCCTCCTGGAGATGCTGAAATGCATCAAGAATTTCAAAGGGAAACAAAATTTTCAGATGTCATTTGGCCGTTTTTATCCATAAATCCAGTTTCATCTGCAGGAGGAAAAATAAACCCTACAGAAACACTTAGCACAGTGGAACAAAAATAATGTTAAATTAAGCTTACAAAAATGTTTCTCTTTTTGAAAATCTTGGCTGGCGACAAATGGCTTGTGCCAAGTTATAAATCAAGTGTTGGGTTTCTTTAACGCTCAGCATCCCCTGATTTATGATTCCATCACAAGCTCTCGATTGATTTCTGACTCAGTGATCCATCTTCCCCCATAGGTACCTGCCCATTATAACGCCTTTTCCTGAGCAGGCAGCACATTTCACTTCCCAGAAGGGCTTTATAAAGGAGAGGTTGAGTGGAGTCCTGCTGGCTGGAGAGCACAGCCCCGAGGGGCTGAGGTGGCCACAGAGGGAGAGGAGGTGGTTGTGGCTTGCACACAGGAGCAGCTCTACTCCGTGGAGTAGAGCAGGGAGGGGCCCAGGCTCGCTGGCCACTGAGCCAGCAGGACAGGGATGCTGCTGGAAACACCAGGAATGAGCTTCCTGACGTGTTTGGGATGACAGAGCCTCGCTGCTTCCCCAGGGTTTAGTTCCCAATGGCAGCCATCCTTTACAGATGAAAACAAATTAAACCTTACAATCTGGGAGAGTCTGGCTCACCAAAACCTTTCACACAACAGGAAATCCTTTTCCTGTAAAAGCATCCCACTCCTCAGCAAGCCTGTTCCCACCAGCTGAGCACTCCAAGGACATCAGGGCTTACAGCATCAAAGCTGTGACACGTTCCCATGCAATGTCATGGCCAAGGTGCACGTCCCCACCAGGTACAGGTGGAAAGCTGTGCAAGGACTTTCTCAGCTGCAGAGCTCACCAACCCCATGGATATCCCAACCCAGAGAACACTCTCTGACCTGCTCCTGCCAAAACAGGGCAGCTCCTCCAAGCACAGCTGCTTACACTGAGCTCCCTGGGACTAAAGCAGGAGCAGCAGGGAGGGCAGTGAGGAGCACTCAACCCCAAATGCAGAACAGCTGGAGGCTCTTAAGGAAACCCAAGCACCTCGGAAATGAGAGACAATGGGGGTAACAAGGGGAAAAAGTAACAAATATTGACCACTTAAAGCCCTTTGAGGTTTTCAGTGTGTTAGAGCTGTGTCCCAGGCAATGCATCAGCCCTTGGGATGGTGAATGTGGCCTGGAGTTCACTGACTAACAGAGCCTTGCCAAAATCAGCCAGGTTACATAGTTCTTCATCAAATGCAGCCTCTCCTATATAAGCATCTTCTTGGGGAGCCCAGAAAACTTGGTGCCTTTCTAACTTCTGAGATAAATAAGCCTTTTCCTGTGTCACTACATTTATTTATTCACAGTGAAAAGGGCCTGTGAACGGCACATGCTGTCAGTTCAGTATGAAAATGATGCCAGCCCCGTTTGCTACGTCCCATTAATTATTTTTATACACTTTTCTTTGCCTTCAGCTGTAAGAGGAACAGTCACCTTGATGTCTTGAAGTGGTTTTCTTCTGCCTGTGAGCAGAACACCCAACTCCAGCCACCCTGCAGTCGGCAGCGCTCGAGCTCAAGGTGCTCATTCTCTCTTCTGAAAGGGGGAAAAAAAGAAAATAAAACAAACCCATAAATCACCAAGCTAGCAAATGAAAATAAATACACTTAAAAATATTTCCATGCTGCTTTTTATTATTATTATTTATAATGGTATTACAGAATTTTGTAAAATTAAAGTAAATGTCAAGCAGAATGCAATAATTTTCCTTGGGGTTTGGCACATTTGTGTGCCTGACAGTTTCACATTTTTCTTTATATCCATGAAGACAGGAGCCTGACAGGGCTATATTTTGTTACCCACTTTGTTCAATTTTGTCATAAATTGGAGTGAACAAAACAGTGAAAATATAGACACCAAATTAATCAAAGAAATTACATTTTAAAGCACCTCAGACAAACGTATGAAATAATCATGCTGTGCCAGGAAAGCACATGAAAACATCAACATTTCCCCCTCCCAAACACACACACTTTGCCCCAAGAAGGGCAGAGACTTCACCCCAGGGCCATTAGTGTTAGCACCAGATGTTGCTCCTTGGCTGTCTCACCTTGCAGAACGCTCAGTGAATTTCTCTCCCATGAATTTCTCTCCCTGCACCTGAAGTTTATCCAAATCTCAGCTATTCCATCCCACCGAGTTGCATTTTTTAACACGTGCAGCAGCTGATTTGGTGTGCCAGCTCACAGGGTCACATCCTCACCTTCCAGCAGGTTGTGCTCAGCTCCACACCTCCATCCTCCCACTGCCACCTCCAAAGCCTCCCTTAGAACCCTGCCTGTCCCTGTTGTTGCATTTGCAGTTCTTAGGAAGAAGCACGGTGCATAAAGAACTCCAATTTCCATGAGAATGACAAGGAGAAATGCGAAGTGAGTAGCAAGGGCTATCCTGAGGCCCATCCTTTCTGCCTGAGTAAATTCGATTTGAATTCCTCTTGAAAGACCAGCTCTGCAGCACTTGGACTATATTGAAAAGGTCACTGGAGGCGATGTCAGACATCTGCACTACAAGTGATAGAGATTCATAACGAGGTACTGCTGCAGCTGGAGATCCAAAGTGGCTCTGAGGAATCCTCTCCACTCACCTGGCAGCAGCAGTATTCCATTACTCCCCTTTAATGCCTGGATAGAAGCATTCCTGCCTTCTCTCCTGTCCCCCAAACGCTGGATTGGAAGCTTTAGGAGCTTGTGGGACTCCTTGTGATGAAGGAGTGATTTGATTTGTGATTTGATGAAGAATTCCCCTTGTGAGGATGGCTGGTGGGAATTGCAAGCCTGATGTCCATCACAGAGATGGCCACACTGGCATTCACCTGCCCTCCTCCTACCTCTGGGCTTCCGAGCACCTTTGGGATATAAAGGAGAGCAGGAGCACAGCAAAGCCATAGAGGCAGAACCAACACCACCCAAAACTCACCTCTGGCCCAGGCAGCAGTGTCCTGATGTCCTGCTAGAATTAGGTTTAAAACCTGGAACAGAAAATGTTGTCCTTGCCCATGGCAGGGGGTTGGACCTGGATGATCTTTGAGCTCCCTACCAGCCCAAACCATTCTACAACTCTGCCTCCTTTTATCTCAAATTCAATATTTTTCCCAGTGGCCCTGGGCTAGGAAAACCTGAGTTTTCCCCTTGTCCCACTAAGCAACATCCCCTTGGTGCTGGGACAGGGCCAGGAGTGCCCCAAAGGGCTGGAGAGGGGCAGCATCACCGAGCACAGAGCACAGGGAGGGCTCACAGCAGGGCCCTGCAAATGTGCAACTGCTTCAGTGGTAGATTAAAGGATTTTTTTTTATTTTTTTTTTCCTCCCAAACTACATACACCCACCTATATATGGCAAATATGCATTTTTAAGCTTATTTGTGTATGCTTTGCTAAATACCATAATGGTCTCCAGCTGTATGGCAGGAGGGCCCATTCACTGACATTTTACTGTTCAGTTTCTTTTTTTCCTTTCTGGATTACCAGTGTATTTCCTCCCATTTTGCTTTGTGCTTGTAGAATGCCTGATGTCTCCTATCACACCTGTTTTCTATTATTTGTCCTATTATTTTAATTCCCCATCTATTGTGTGGATTCTGAAAATCATCTGATAAATCCCATTCTCTACTTTTAAAACAGCCTGTGAGATGGCTTTAATAAGTGAAATCTGTATTTTTCCACACCATGCTCAATGAAAGTGTCCAGTGAATAACCCCTGATTGTCAGGTGTTCCCATTCCCATCATCCAAGCACGGGGGATAATTAGCAGACAAATGAAGATTTACAATTCTGCAAGTATTCACAAAGACCATTTGGCTGCTTGATGGGTAGAAGGATATTTTTAAAACTGCCATTTGAGATTCAGCTGTATTGCTAATTAAATGAGAATTTCATAAAAATAATCTGAAAAAAAGTCTCTGTTAATTGGAGAACGATAACGAACAGACTTGCTAAACAGAGGCATAAACGTCAAACAATTGAAGAGGAATAATAAAGTGCTGTGTTATCATGCAATGCCAGGCAGCTTTCCTACTTTTTATTTGAAGTTTTAACTTTTAGCAATTTCTTTTTCTTTTTTTTTTGTATTTGTGAATGGCATTCAAAAATGTGCTTTGCAATCATAATTTCAGCTCTGCCTTTGCTCCCCAGCCGTGCTCAGGATGGGTTTGGAGCACAAAGGGTGGTGCCATGGCTTCTCCAGCCCTTCAGCATCCCTGAGTCCTGCATGCCTGAGCCCAGGGAGCTGGGACCCTGGGAAACAAGTGGGCTCTGCTTCCCACTCAGCCTCTGGAACTCCAGTAAAAATAAGATTCTAACTTGTTTGAAAGGGCAGAGGTGGTCAAGCCAGCTCATGAGAGAAACTAATTATCAAAGGTTTCCCTAGGTCAGAGTGAGAACAAGAGGCTGGGATGGATTGGAGGCTCATTTACAGTCCTGTATGCCCAATACTTTCCTTTTTCTCCTCTGCTGCACTCGGGTGTTTCTGTAAGCGGTGCATGGCAATTCTGGGCACACACCACACCAGCTATTAATTGGATTTGTGGGCCTCAATTCCAGCACCCTGTGAAACATTTCTAGGGGATCACAAAAGATGGGGACTGTGCAAAGTAGTAAGAGGCAGGTACAGTGTGGAGAGGACCCTTTTGTTAATCCTGCTCTATCTTTCATTAGCACACCTCATTATGACATCCCATAGATTTGTGCTTCAGCAGTGAGAGGCAAACGATGTTTTAATGAATGATGGTGCCTCAAGCTGATAAGGGACTGTCCTTCACTCCCACTGAACAGAGGCTGTGCTCAGCACCATGTGTCCAACTGCACTTAAAGTAATTGGATGAAACTTTGTGTAATAGTTTGCTCACTCCAGGTGGGTGTAAAAGTCACGGGGAAAAATCCCAATGATAAAATACCAATTGCTGTCCCTTGCTCGAGGGTATAATTGTGGTTAGTGGTAGTTGAGGAGCAAAGAATCCAGGCTGGAAGATAATGGGAGGAGGCATGTACAGCACAAGGCAGAGGCACCTCCAGCTCAAGGCTGCAGAGGCAGGGCTGGACCAGGCAGAATGTGCACTGGGAAACTCTTTCCCCTAAGCAGTATTTACTCACTGTGTGCTCAGAGGATGCTCACAGTATCCCTGTGGGGCTCAGTCCTGGTGTACTCATCTTCCTCTGACCTTGAGGGTGGTGAGGCCCTGGCACAGGGTGTCCAGAGCAGCTGTGGCTGCCCCTGGATCCCTGGAAGTGTCCAAAGCCAGCTTGGACAGGGCTTGGGGCAAGCTGGGATAGAGGAAGGTGTCCCTGCCCGTGGCAGGGGGGAACAAGATGAGCTTTAAGGTCCTTTTAAGGTCCTTTTCAATCCATTTCACTCCATTCTGGAGTCTGTGGTTCCTGCAGCTCGGGCACAGCTCTGGGAGTGATGGCCAGGGCCAGCTCCAGCTCCGTGCTGCTGCAGCCCCACGGGCCTCAGCCACATTTTATTTATTTAAAAATGTTTTATAACATTTTCCCAAAGATGTTACTCTTACACCCTGAATGATTACTTCATTTAGCACATACATCAGAACTAAAATACCCAATATTAGCGCATTTAAGTTCATGCTCAATGATGGATTCATCGTTTCTCTTTTCTGGAGCAAAGCCCAGTCCATTTCATCTGAGGACCAAGGAGAAACATTCCCTTGTATCTTAGAGTCTGAGACATCTGCTGTGCTTTGCAGAACTGCTTGTCCACAAAAAAAAAAAACCACCAAACCCTGAAATGCTTATATATATTAAAAAAAAAAAGTAAAAGCTATAGATCACACACATTTTTCACTTTTCCAAATCTTTTCATTTGCTTTCAGAACAGGTGCAAAGGAAGCCTACCCACAGTTCAGTCAGCATGAGCCTGTGTCTGTGTGTCCTTTGAGGTTTCAGATGTCACAAAAAAACAAAAACCAAAGCCCATTACCAGGAACTGCTCCCCAAAAACCAAAGCCCATTACCAGGAACTGCTCCCCAAAAACCAAAGCCCATTACCAGGAATTGCTCCCCAAAACCCAAAGCCCTTCAGCAGGGAGGGAAGGCTCAGTCCTGCCTCTTTGCCCTGTGTGTGGGGAGCACCCAGCTGCAGGGAGAGTAAAAATCAGAGTAAAAAGAGTAAAAAGAAGCAAGGAAAAACCCTTCCTTGGGCTTGGCCCTCAGGTGCTTCAGAGGTATATTTCTATTAGACACTGCCATCCTTTTGGGCTGTAACGTATTCCCTCATTATGGAAAACACGCACATGGCATTTGTTTCTGGAATGATATTGCACAAAGCTGGGTAATAAAAACGCCTCTGATCTCACCAAGCACAAGGCTCAGGACAAATAAAGTCTGTAAACAGTTCTGCACTCCAGGATGTATTATGAGCTGGACCAGCATTTACTCAGGGCTAATGCTGAAGAAGTTCATTTCATCTCCTGCAAAAGGCTCTGTTCCCACAGGAAGCTTCACTCCTCGGGGGAGGAAGGTCACTGTGATCCAGCTCTCAACTACCTCCTTCCTTTTGCTGCTGCAAGCTGGCATCATTCACTGCACACTTCCCTCTCCCAGCAATACCTCCCTGCTCCTTGGAAATGTATAGAAATGTCTGGAGGGGTCTGCAGGCAGCAGAGGTGTGGAAATCACCAGGTCCTCCAGGTCTTCCTCAGGTTTACAGTCAGTTCCTGCTGGAGTCTGAGGCACAGAGTGTGTGCCCTTGTCTCTGGTGCCTGGCTCTGAGATCCAGGAGAACACTGGATTTCATAAAACATTAAATTTATGGGCATGTTTTCATGGTGATACATGAAAACAACTGTTAAAGTTAGATAGAAAAGCTAAAAGTGTGAGTGCGTAGATTAGAGAGTTTTCTTAAGTCACTGGGTGAAAAAGTTTAGAGTTTAAACTAGTTTAGAGAGCAGCAGACAAGATGGAGGATTTAGGGTGTTTTTTTCTTCTTTCTTCTTCATTTTCTTCTTCTAGAGGTTTTTGGGTAAGTGATTGGATAGAAAATGTCACAGTGCAGCACACAGGTGTTGGGTCATTGGGTCATTAAGAAAAATAATATATGTGTCTATTGCTAATTGGATAAGAATAAATATAAAGGTAAAAGAAAATAAGTATAAAGATAAAAGAACTGAGTAGTTCAGGGCCATTTTGTGCCATCAGAGCCAAAATGTACCAGGTTGTAGTGAATTAAACTTGTGCAGAAAGTCTGGAGAGACCTGCCAAGCTTTGTGATAACATCCTAATAAACACTAAGAAACAAGATCTTGACAAGCTTTGGAGTTTTCTTCCTGACCCAGAGATAAACAGAACTCCCCATGAGGGAATATTCCAAAGGAGCCCAGCTCAGAGGAGACTGAGAAATCCACGTGTGAGAAGAATCAGAGAAGAAAAAACAGAAAAGAATAAGTTATGGTTCCTTCTTGCAGCTTGTACCTAATGGTGATTATGTGCATTACATGATCACATCAGATGGTGTGGCCCCACACCTTTAACAATTTCCTTCACTTTTTGAGCACCAAACCAGTGATTGTGGAAAGACAGAAGGTATGACTGAAAATGGGGAAAAAATAGCGGGGGGGAGGAAAAATGGTCTTTTACAGCCCTGACTGAAAAATGGAAAATCCCCAAGTCAGCCATCCTTTTGGAAACCTCTGGCCTCAAAATACACTTTGTAACTGATGTGTTTTAATTCCAGGAAAAATACTCTGAGCTGAGGCTTAGACCTTGGGCAAATTCGCCTTTTGGCTCAAGCAGCAAAGATCTTGAGCTGAAAATGCCTGCTGCTGACAGGCTGTGCCATGGCTGCGTCCCAAACACTGCTGGCATAGCTGTGGTGGAAAAAATAAAATACATTTCATTCCCCAATGGTCATGCTGTAATGGCATGAAATTAGAAACTCTAATCAATAGTGCTTTACACAGCATGACTCTCATGTCAAAAGAGCCCATGGTTTAAAAAAGAAGAGTCACAAATAAATATGAAAATCAAGGCTGTGAAGCGTCAGTAATGAAGTATAATTCTGTCAAGCAGTCCCAGCCAGTGATTCTGTTCACAAAACCTTCACTCCTTCGTTCTCCACACCTCCCTGATCTTCTCTCTCCACATGATTTCCTGTATTTATTTGCCCTTCGCACATGAAATGTCACAGATTCGAGCGTGAGTGACGAAACTGGGGAGGGCAGGGCTGTGCTGCAGCCCTTGCTCTACCTCTGCCTGGATTTCAATAATTTCACTTCCCTGTCACTTTGGAAAAGGCCCCAACCCCTATCTGCTCACCTTGCTGGGGCACATCCTGAGAGCAGCAGCACCTTTCTTCCAAGATGCAGCTCTTCTGTTCCTACAAAATGTAAATAAAATGCAGATTATTATTGCCTTTATAACAGCAGAAGTTAGAGTTATCCTATTTATACCAAAAATTATAGACAGCTCTGCCATTATGTTTTGCTTGTAGAGGTGACACAAGAACCACCAGAGAGATAAAGCATTTTAAAATAATAATCAGGCCCCCAAAGGCATGAAGAGCTGACAGCTACAGGGTTCTCTGTCTGTCATACGAGTCTTTTGGGAGCTGGTGGCATTTTGTTCAGGGACAGGGTTTGGGATTTTTCCAGCACTTGTTTTAAAGTTCCTCTCTCCATGCACTGCTAACATTAGCACAGCTTGGCAGGTGGAGGAGTGCCCTGAAAATAGTGAATTCTTGGAGTGGAGATGTTGTTAATTAGACCTTCCTCCTGCACACAGTCCTGGCTCTCCCAGCAGCTCCTGGGGCAGGAGATCAACCAAAGGTTGGATGCTTTCAGCAGGAGAACAGAAAAGAGCTGCCTGGCTTCCAGACATAAATGAAAGTCCTCCAGAAAGACCTGCTGAATCCAAAGGGTCAGTGGGAAAAGAACCTTACATGGCCTCAAGAGAAGGTCTTGATCTTTGTGAGGGGTGTCTCCAGCAGTTTCTGGGTCCTTTTCTTAATTTTTCCACTCAACCACAGTACTTTGGTTAATTGAATTACCTGCAGCCTTGTCTTTAGCACAGAAATGGATGTTTTCCCCTTGAGCCCGTATCAGTGAGGACACAGAAGCAGAGGTTACACGTTGAGTCTGTGGTTCAGAGCCCAGATGGAACCAATGAACACAAACCCCAGGTACCAGCTCTGCACTCCAGACATGCCAAACTCCATCCCTGAGCAGGGAGGGTGGACTGGGTGACTCCATGGCCCCAAACACCTCCTGAAGAAGGTGTCCATGGCTCCCATCACCATGGGCTAGGCCCTGCAGAGCAGTTCCCACAACATTGCTTCAGCTCTCTCTCTCTCTCTGAACAGTTGCTTTCACTTCAGAGCAGTCACTTACATCATGCCACGTCTGAAAAGCAGGATGAAAGCCAAAAATTATGTCTTTCCCAAGCTCTCCATAAAACCAGTGACTTGTGCAACACATACAGAGCTTTAAGTTGGGGAACTTCAAATCGCCAATCATCTGTTAATCAGCAACATGGCAGTCCCTGGGGATTGTGGGGATGTTAAAAGGTTACCCTGCTCTCCCTCACATTGCACTGCTGAGCTCCATTACACAGCCAAAGGATGATTTCATGTGTGGCAAAGGATTTTTGATTCTCCGGATATTATTTTAGATGTGGAAACCCAGCTGCTGAATGCTGCTTTTCAGGTTAAACAAAACCTACAGCCAACACTCATTCTCACACTATTAATGAAGATAATCTTGCCCTGCAATTGACTTTTTTCCAGAAATAGCAGGAGAGGGATTTTCAAATCCTTTCAGGTTTGCAAAACGTTATCTCATTCTATTTCTTTAATCTCCTGATGCTGAAAGATGGATCTTTTTCTCTTATGGCTGGATGTACTTCTACACTTCAGCAGCAAACCATGAAAGGGAATCAGGCTTATGGAAAGAAATAATAAAGAATCTGCAGTGTTAACATTTACTTGGGCTTGTCTGGACTTCCTCAGCTTTGAATTCCAACATGATTGACCAGATTGAATGTTACACAAAAGAGACAAACCAACTGACAGGCTTTGTGTACAAAGGACTGCTGGGCAGGGGAAGGGACTGTGCTCTGCTCCAGGGCACTGGTGGACAGGACAAGAGAGCTCAAACACAGAGAGAGAGGTTCAGCTGGACTGGGGAAAAGATCCTTACATCAGCACCAGTGCTCAGCACTGGGATAACACTGCAAGGTCTCAAGTGGCAGAGTTTGAAGAACATTTCAAGCAAATTTGAAGGGGCTGAAGTTTATCCATCCTTGGAAGTGTTCAAAGCCAGGTTCAGGGGGGCTTGGAGCAACCTGGGAGAGTGAAAGGTGTCCCTGGCTATAGAGCAGGGGTTGAACTAGACGAGGTTTAAGGTTTCTTCCAGTCCAACCCAAACCATTCTGTGATTCTGTGATGACGCTGCCCTGGAGGAAGAAGAACCTGGAAAATCTCCCAAGATCCCTTTCACTTTCTGGTTTCTAGAAAAACCCACAGATAAACTGCAGAGCTTCAGCACAAGGCAGAGCAGAGCATTCCCTGAGCAACTCCTACTCCTGGATTGCAGGGAAGGCACAATTCATAGCCTGCTTTTTCATTTCCATGCATCTTAATTGTTCACATAATAATCACAGAAGTATTTAATAATACAAAGCGTACGAGCCAGATGTTCAGCTGGTGTAAATCAACAGCACCAGGGAAGCTTCAGTGGTGCTGTGCTGGCTTCATTTGAAGCTCTGGTGCTGCATCTTTAAGGTGGCTCTCAGGATTTTAGTACCTTCTTATTGTTTCCACTAAAACCAAGTCACAGGGTTTACTGCCCACCTCCCACCAAATGCTCAGAACTGAAGATCAAAAAGCCAAAGCTCAAAATAGATTGACTTAAGGTCACTTAAAAAACCTCTGCTCCAGCCTCTGCTGGCCATCACCACGTTTTATCATAGCCACATGCTCCTCCAGCTGACCTCACCCTGGCACAGGCAGGCACAGGCAGCACTCACTTGACCAGAGATCCATGCAGTGCCTTGTCTTAGTCTCAGCTGGCGTGTGAGCTCTGCTTTATTTGCTTCCCACTGAAAAAAAAAAAAAAAAAAAAAAAAAAAAAAAAAAAAGAAAAAGCTTTTAATTCACTTCCTCTTGGGAGTTTCTGTGATGCTCATTGATCCAGTCTACAAGTACTTCGCAAACACTAATGGATCCAGTGAAACTCTCCACTAATCTCCTCCTGAAACTTGGCACCAAACTGCTCATTTCTGACGGCTTCTCCTTTTACAGTTGTTTTGCTTTGCTACCTGTTACAGAGCCACTCCAGGGCTCATTAATTGTTCATCCTTTGTCCCTTGAAAATTTTCCTTTTAATCTTTCCAGTCACATGTTGGATACTGATGTGAAACAGATTTCAATTTGCAGGTCTTTCACACCTGCAATGATACTATTTGAACTGATCATGGCATTACCAGTAGCACATGGACATCTGTAATTGAACTGAAAAGCTCTGCAAGACATATTCATCGGATTTCTGATCTCATTTGTTAGAGAGCCTTAGGGAATGAGCAATTTCCACTCCTCAATTTATGACAACTGGTCATAGTTACTTAAAGGGAATAAAATAAATCCTGTGGCATGTGTCCCTTCTGGAAAACAGGTTGACTGTTGTGCCCAGAAGAGAATTAAATTGCCCAGTGACAATATTGAGAGAAAAAATATATAGATAGAAGAAAGCCATGGTAGTTTTTTGTGGAGGTTTTCAGGTTAATATTCCTTCTGCTAATGTGACCCCCTGGTTGAGATTCTGGGAAATTTCAATAAATTGTGTGGAGACTATGCAAAATAAGCTGGTCTGCTGTATTTGAAAATAACCTATCCTTGTGCTAACTCTATCTGGGGCTAAGGGGTGACCTGCTCCACTTCCATAACTATGGCTGGATTTTCAGCTGTCAGGAACAGCAGGATTTTCAAAAGACTTGCTGACCAAGCCAGCGTGGCTGGGCTCTTTGGGCAGACCTTACAGAGCAAAGACTTTCACCATTTGTTTTTTAAACGAGATGGGAATGTGCAGCACATTGCTCAGGTGCAGGCAGGCAATCCTGGCCCAGGTGCAGTCAGCAGTGTCCCAAGGGCAGAGAAACAGGCAGTGGATTCACACAGAGCCCACTGCCTTCCTGCTGGCTTTGATCCTCCAGCACTCCTGGGGTGTGCACCTCATCCTGCTCTGCCAGGAGCTCCTGGGCCAGCCTCCCTCTGCAGGGGTAGGTGGGCAGCCTGTGCCTTCCTCAGCCACTCTGCATCTGCTGGGGATTAAATGGGAATTAGGAACCCAAACTACTCAAGTGCTTTAATCCAATTTCACTTCCTCGCTGTCTAAATGGCAATGACATTGATGTGATTTTTATCACCTCAAATAGCCCAGCTGCCCACATGAAAACTGGAGATATATTTTGACCCTGTCTTGTCTACATTTGTGGATGGTTCAAACACTTGCCATCCTGGCACCATGTAATTCAAAATGCCACTATCCCAAGTGATGTATTTTGAAGAGAGACCATTCTGCTGCTGTACTGTATCAAGGGAATGACGGGTTCTGGTGGTGTACATCAGCAGGAAGATGACACTCCACTCTTGTGTTTTAAGGGCTCCAGGATATATCATGAAAAGTGCTGCCTGATTCCTGGGACCTAGAGGCAGGCACAAGGTGTTAATGTCAAAATAAAAGAGATAAACCGGGAAAGGTCTTGAATCTGACCATCCTGTGATGATAGCAACAGGCAGGGGGTCAGGGAGGCATTTTCTTGTGGCAGATTGGGATGTTTCCTCATCACTTTATCAGTCCAAGAGTGTGTTCCTAAAGCTATCTGTTCAGAATTCACATTTGCTTAAATTTTACTATGTGCTTCACTCCACTGGACTTCCAGTGGATTTGCACATGTTTAATTTTAAGCACCTGCTTTGCTGCCATGCTGCCTGGGGGTGATAATCTGGATTTTGTAAGGCTGACCTTAGTTCTGTATGGTCAGGAGAAAAACAGAATAGGGAAATAATTCAGCAAAAAGCAGCAAAGATATGTGAAGAAAGGACACAATTGTTCCTTTATACATCCCCTGACATCAGAGGAGCTAATTCCAGCACAGGTTAAGCAAGAGGCACAGAGCTGGAGTGGTTCCACCAGCCCTCAGCAGCAGGTGGAGCAGAGCTGGTGACAAAGAGAACACAGGGAGCCACAAACCTCTGCAAGGCCCAAATGTGCTCGTGAAACAGGTGACCCCAATGCAAAGTATGGGGTTTAAACTAGGAAAAATAGGGGGAAAAAAAGGTCTAAGATTTCTTAGAGGCCCAATCATAGGGCAACCCCAAATCCCCAAAGTCAGATTTCCCATTTTAGAGCACCCTGCTGAGCGCAGTGGGGCAGATTTATCACCCAGCAAAGAGACACAAGAGTGCTGGCCAGAGCAGAAGGCCCTGTTCCTAATTCCATCAGTGATTTACTGGCTCAGGTTCCATCTCTGCAAATTTAAAACCTCACACTGGCTCCTAAGGCTATGCTATATAAAATTTGATTGTTACATTCAATGGCCTGTAATAAATTAAATGAACTATCAGTAATAAGTTCAGAGGCAACACAATCTTTTTTCAGTCAAGTATACTTCCTTAAAAAATACCAGCAGCATCAAATGTAACTAGATTTAATTTCATGCTGAAGAGTCTGTGAATATTCATTTTAAAATATTCACAAAGAGCCTAATTTTAATTTGTGTGATGTTTCTGCTAATACCAATACCCATTGAAGAGCCTTAAGAATATTAAGAGGGAATTCTTACAGAAATGCACTGGAGTTTTATGTTTTGAATTACCATTACAGGCTTTTTGGTTTAAGTCCTGTTAAACAGATTTCCTTATTAACAAGAATACGTGCAAATTAAAACAAACCCATTAAAATCTAAAATTCCATGCTAAAAAGATTAGGGACATTTGAGTTATATTTCTTCTGAAGGAATAAATGTAATAAAGAGTGATAGGGAGTAAAACCCAACGCTCACAAGATCGACACTGGCTAGACAGTGGTGAAAAGCTTCACAATAACCTGTTTCACACAAGGAATCATTTTCCTTGTCTTTTTCTGCTCCCCATCACAAAGACATCGTATTTATAAAGCCTTTGTCACAGATCTTGTTGGAATGAGCTGGGCTTTAAGGTTGCTTCCAGCACAAACCATTTTATGATTCTCTGATCTTCCCCTGGCTCCAAAGGTGCAGGCAGGGCTGGGATGGGTCAGGGAGGAGATAAATGCTCCTGTCATGCTTTAACCCCAGCCAGAAATCAAGGACCATGCAGCTGCCTCCTCAGTGGGATAGGACAGAGAATCGGGGGAAAAGGCAAAACTTTTTAGTTGAGATAAGAACAGTTAAATAATTGAAGCCAAGAAAAATAAAATAGTAGAAATACTACTACTACTACTATTAATTATTGTAATTAAATGGGGAGAAAGAGAGAGAAATGCAAGAGAAACAAGTGATTCTCAGTTCACCGGCTGCCTGATGGCCAGACCCTCCCCCAGCAGCATCAGGGGGTCCCAGCTCCTCCCAGCCTCTCTCAGGACATGATTTTTCATGGTATGGAACAGCTCTCTGTCCAGCCTGGGTCAGCTCTCCTGGCCATGCTCCCTCCTGCTTCTGGTGCATCTTCTCATGGGCAGAGCATGAGGCACTGAAAAGTCCTTGATTTATGGGAAGCAGCTCAGCAACAACAGAAAGATCAGTGTGTGATCAGAATTATTCTCACACTGAACCCAACATAAGAGGAATAATGAATTCTATGCCAGCCAAAAGCAGGTGAGCCAAAAGCTCACACCAGCTGGAGACCTCAGACTTGCTCACCAAAGGCTGTGCTGCCTCATTCACCCTGCCCTCTGATCCCCACCTGCCCAAAGCCAGGCTGCTGAGGATGCCAGGGAGGGTGGTGATTTGAGCTTCAATCATGATCCAGGCCTGAGCTGCATCTCTGGCAGAACATCACTGAGGTTTGGTGCTGTGTGCAGGGCTGGCCTTCCCCTGCACCAGAGCAGTTCACCTGCCCCAAACCTGTCCCAAGTGGGGCTCTGCACAGCCCTGGAAGGAGCTGAACTCATAGATATGGATCCAGGGGCAGTGAAAGCACTTCACACTGAAGCTGGCACTGTAAATTACACTTTTCCCTCTGCTGCTTTGACTCCCAGCTGCTGTATTGATCCCCTCAGCTTCTAAATAACCCTCCATTCAATATAATCATCAATGAAAAGTCTGCTGCTCTCATAAATCACATGAATATTTACACTGAGTTGTGTAAGAAGCATCTTGTCACCTCTCAGGTGTTTTATACCCCTGTTCCCTGCCTGCTTACTCCTGTCCCTCTCTCCACCTGTTGCTGGAGGGGCTGGGGGAGTCACTGACCCTTTCCTTGGCTCCAGCCAGAAGCAGCAAATTATCTGTGCTAAAACTCTCTTCTGTCAAGCTGCCAAATCTTTTGCATTAATCCTGAAAATTACAATTAATGAGTGCTAAGAGGATCTTCCCACCTCTGTGAACAGCTCTGTTCAGTTGGAATGATCCCTCCTGCTCTGCCAGCATCCGAAGCCTCTTTGGGTGACAGCTTTTGGCTCTGGGGCAGGGCAGGGCACTCAGGAAAGGGCAGGGGGCTGGTGGTGGGGTGGTTTCTGCCTCTTTTTGCTTGATACCCTGTGACAAGGATGCTCTACATCGAAATGGGAGAAGCCTGGGTCAATAAGAGCCCATGGGCAGCAATGCCCACCAGGAGAAAGTTTCAGGAGCCTGAAGCCATCAGATATTGGGAGGCAAAGGACAGAACCAGAGTGCCTGGGGTCTCCAGCCACACTTGGGCTGCCTGATGTGGCAACTGCAAACACCTTCAGCAAGGCTCTGGGATTCAATCTCCCAAGCTGCTCACCTTGCTCTCCGAGGACTGCCAAAAATCTAAAAATACAATCTTTTTAGCTATCAAGAACCAAATCTGGGACTCTCATTAGCATGCAAATACATTTCTCTAGGTGTGAGTTAGGAATCAGGTAACGACTGTGCATGGTGAAATACCTGCAGTAATCTTTCAGATTTGAAAAGAGATCTGTTCATATTTTTAAGCACAGGCTGGTTGCCATTCCTCCTCAACAGCCCCACCTCCCCCTGAGCTGCTGAACAGTTCCAGGAAATGCTCCTGTTCTTGGTTTTTTTCCTCTGTCTGTGACCAGCAAGCACTTGTTGGTGTTTAACCTTCAGCAAGCAGTAGGGAAGGGATGCAGCAGCCCCTGGCTCTGGTCGATTCACCACTCAGAGAAACTGAAGCATCTCCTAGAGCTGAATGGCTTTGGGAAGCCTTGTGCTCCTGCTTTCACAAACCTCTTCACTGGCATTTCCTCTTCTGGACTATTTATCGTTTTTTCCCCTCTGTGTGTTCACTTGACTCTAGTCTGAGTTTATCCAAACCACTTCACCATGAATGGAGCATTTGTGCATTTCCAGTGTTTCAGTCCCAGAAATAACCCTGCAGAAATCACTAGAACTACACTGGGGAAAAAAGCAGTAGATGTCACATGAGGTTTATTTCTTTATCCCTTAAAGAGGAAATGTTAGATAACTAACTGCTTCCCTGAGTTAATAATTTCCACTGTCTTCAGTCAAATTATTTTCCATTTGAACTAGCAATGAATTTAACTTGTAATTACTAGGTTTAATCCATAAATAATGTATAATATGTATTCAACATATATTATCCTCTATTTTTGATATATATTAACCTCTATGAGGTTAAGCACTTTTCCTCTCACCTTTAAATGCTCTTTAAAATTAGAGGATGCAAACACAACCCAAAATTTAGAGCAGCTCCAGTATCTACTGTATCCACTGTGCCTGCAGCACTAATTTGGGAATGTCCACACTGTCACACGTGTTGTGGGATTCTCAAACAACTATCTATGTTATTTTAATTAATTAAATTATATATATCTTTTACAGGTAATGGAGGTTTTGGTAAGAAAAGAAAGAATATGAGACAATCAGTGTCAGTGTTGGTCTGAAATAAGTACTAGATCTTCATGGGAAACAGGGGCACGGTGTACAACTAAAGGATGTTGGGTTTGGCAAGTTGCAGGAAAGACAGCAGCAGTATCTTACAAATACAAATATAGTGGGGCTGGCCTCAAGAGAAACTCTGTCATTACAAAACAAATTTTGTGTGGCTTTCTATGAAACAGTGATTGGGCCTTTGGGAGGTGGAGGTCCCAGATGAGCAGTGGCTTTCTGAGCACTGAATGACCAGGTGACAGCAGAAGGTAGAGGAGGAAACACCCTCCATCTGAAGCTGCTGTGTCCTGGGGAGGTGACAGAGCTTGGGCAGTGGCTCCTGAGCACAAGGACCACGATGGTGACGGGATCCAGGGTGACCTGGGATGCCAGAGACCCTCTCAACACTGTGCCCTCCGCTTCCAAAGCGAACAGAGCTGCTCCTAAAATCACCAGCCTTCTTTACCTACTGCCACTTCTCGTTTGGGCTGTGGGTAATTCTTCCTCTGAGAGGGCAAAATTGACTCCCTCCTGTGAGCACATTAAAAAGACATTTGTAGATGAAGATGATGCTGGGATAGTGGCACTAATAAAATCAGCAGAGAAACAGCATTTAGCAGCTGGGAGGGGAGGGAAACTTTGTTTTTTCAGGAACACACAGGCTCCTGCTTTGATGTTGCATTCAAGCCAAAGCAAGGGCATGTTTTAAATTCCCAATAATTCAAGTTTCTTTTTAAGTTACCAAGCCTGGCTGAGCTCTTAAAGACAACAGATCTTGCTCCTGGGGTTGGCTTTCCTAGGCAATTGCAGCTCTGCTCAGAATACTATTTAAATACCAATTATTGTAATTCTCGGCAGAAATATTACAGGCATTCAGATTTTTTTCTTAACAGCCAAAGGGAGACATTTCCAGCATCTATCAAAACCTCTTTTATTTTCATCCACATTAAAATCACTTTCCAGAAGGACTGGGCAACGGAACATAATTTATCACCGTAGTTGAACCATTTGTCATGGCTGTCCTGTGCCAAGGCAGCCTGTCTAGAGAAACCCTTGGGGAGCAGGAGGGGTGGCTGGAGGGAGCAAAGGATGCTGCAGCTGAAAAGAATGGAGGGTGCATAGGTGGGAAGCAGGGGAAGCAATATCCCACTCTTTCCTGCAAGCAGCAAATTCCCCATCTCCCCCACACACAAACTTCCCTCTGATTTTATGGTGGAAGCGAGCAAGCAGGGCACACCTTGGAGTGTGAGGATGGAGCCTCTCACCTGAGGGGACCCTTCCCATGAGTCCCTGACAGCCAGCTATGAGGGAAAAAATGGTACTTTGTTTGTTGAGACCCTGGGTCTGACCAGCAGTTTCCAGAAAGGCAAAATGGTTCTCCTGCTGCCAAGAGTCATCATGCTGCCTGACGAGACTGCTCCAAAGCTGTCCTTTTTATTTCCTTCAATAGCTGCTATCAAATCAGGGCAATAGTCCTGGCATGAGCACTGAGTCAGGGGTCCAGTGAGGAAAGTTTTAGTTGTTATTAGCAGGCAGTACTATGAATTGAAAAATGGATGTTAGAGAAGTGTTGCTGTGTTATACCAAAAGGGACCCAGTCGTGGCTCCCTTCTCTGCCCAGGTGACTTGATGGATACTGCCCTGCTCCCTGTGGAGCTGCTGCTCCCCACCTGGCACAGCTCTGCTTCCCCAAGGACACAGGGCATGGCAGTCTGAGCTCTCCACTGCCTCTTCCCCCAGACAGTTTCAGCCAGAGAGTCAATCTCAACCCAATTTGGCAAAGGCAGGAGTTAAGCATGGAGCTTGTGCAGATCTGGGGGGAGTTTGGATAATGGAAAGGCCCCCAGAGGATCCCTGCACAGCAGCACCATGATGAGCCCAGGGATGCCTGCAGTGCCTGGGGCCAGGGAGCTCACCCTGCCAGGCTGGCACCCCCAGACAGCAGCAGGGAGCTTTGCAAGCAGGGAAAAGGCCTTCCAGGCACAGAACAAGAGCAAAGTGTGAGGGAGGACAGGGAACACAATTACCTGCTTGAGCAACAACTTGTTATTTTAACATGCCAAAGCAGCGAGAACAGGAGAATGTGAATCCTGCTGAGGCCCAAAACCCCATCAGCAGCACCCTCCCTGCTCTCAGCACTGGGAGACTGGTGCCTGTGCCCCCAGACACTTCCCAAAATAAGCAGAATCCACAATTCAAGTCAAGCTAAAAGCTGTCTCGCTTCCTTCCTCTTGGTTCTTGAGCTGCACCCACTGTGAACGGAGCACAGCTGTGCTGCTGGCCCTCAGACTGCAGAGGAGCTATAGCAAAGCGCTTAATGCATTCTTAGCTTTTAAAATACTATTCATCAGCAGCAATCAAAGAAGAGAGCCAGCATCATGTTGCCAGCTGAATTAATCACAGCTCCCAGGCCCCCTCACAGCCATTGTGCACAGCAGTGGTGGTCCTGAGAGCAGGCCTGAGTAGCAGGCACTGCAAAAGGCCAAGGTGGTAAATGGAAATCCTGGCTGCTCTTAATCATGCTCCTAATGACCGTGTCATCAATCATATGTGTTCTCAAGTGCTCAGCAACCACAGCCCAAGGGTATATTTTTCAAGGAATTCAATTCAGTGAGGTCTCTCAAAAGCTGGGTCACCATTATTCCCACTCATGTGGGAGGAGGGTTTCTTCTGACTTTCTGGCACTGATGGTGCCCAGAGTCTCAGAATCTCCCTCACAAGCCTGACTGCAATGAGTAAAGTCAATAAAATTTATGCAACAGAAAATTTCACTGACCTTTAGAAGAAAACAAGAAAAAGAAAAACAACATCAATGGAACAGATTGGGGAAAAACACACTGTTTCTGCCATTTCCCTAATCATGGTATTTTTCACTGGGGACATGGTCAAAACAGTTCAAAAATTCAAGCTTCCGAGCTTCCTAAAAACATGAGAACATTGAGAACTAATGAGAATTTTAGTGGTTACAGATTTCTCCTACAGATCTCCGAAGGACTCGAGACCTTGTGGCTACGGACACACAGTGCAGAGCTCCTGGTGTGAAACATCCCACACACGAGTGATAAACATCCTGAATTCCCACAAAAGGTACAAAATGAGCCACGTGCCAACCAAAGCAGCTCCCTTGGCTGCCTTCTGGCCCAGGGAGCGATTGCATTGATTGCATTTCACACCCCAGACAGCTCAGCCTGACCTGTCTGATGCCATGAGGAGCTGATGGAAGCCTTAACACTTCGAGGAGAGTTCAAGACGATTTTACGGAAGCACGCCTTGGGGAAATTGAAATGTCAAGCATAATTTGGCACTTGAAACATGAAGGGGAGAGACTTTGCATTTGTTTTCATCTGCATCTTCCCCTCCTCTGAACTGTACATGCTCCATTTCCCGCTCTTCCCTAAGCTTTCATTAGGCAGTGCTGAAATCTGCTGGATTTGAGGAATCTCTGAGGATAAACAAGTATCTGGCATTAACCTGCTCTGTAAAAGTCAAATTGACATGTCTCACTATTCTTCCATTCTTGTTAGGGAAACTAGTCCAAATCAAGCTTTTCCCCTGTTATCTTTTTTTTCCCATCCATTCATTTGATCTTTCATGTAAGACTTGAGGATTACTGCTCACTAGTCCAATTCTTAATAGATAGGGATTCACTTGAAAAAAAAAAAAAATAAATAGGCTTTTGATCTTGAGTTTCAATCTCAGACCTGGTCTCTGGGGCCACAGACACTCATCAGGGGCTGAGCAGGCAGCAGGCAGGCACAGGGCAGCTGGAAAGGCTGGGAAACAGGAGAGCTTGCTCCTCCCTAAAATAGAAACTCTCTCATAGCTGTCAGCAGGAGAAGGAACAACAGGAGCTGGCACGCAGGCCTCTGCCAGGTGCAGCTCCTGGGAATGCTGATAATGTGTTCTTGGGAGATAAGTTTTTATTTCTCCCCATCAGATGAGTAATTTCTGGTGAGAGAGAGCACAGAGTCCTACAACACTCCAAATCTTTCCCACAAGGGTTTTCCGTGAGGCAACGCTCCTTTGCTGTATGGGGAATTTCTTGCACCAGTTCTGTAAATTTATCAGAAGTTCATTTTTAGAGAAAAGTCAAAAGAGCTTTCAATGCTGCAGAAACATGTACTATTGGAGTCAATTCCTTAAAAATATTCTCAATGCACACCCATTATAACTTAGCCTAAGAAACACAGAGTCACATCAGTACAAGACATTTCAGCTTTTTAAAGAAAAGTGTTTTAATCCACTTGAGCAGAGGGGTTCCAGCCCTTGGAGCATCTGCATGGCCTCCTCTGGAGCCTCTCCAACAGGCACATTTCTCTCTTGTGCAGAGGACCCCAGGCCTAGATGCAGTACTCTAGGTGGGATCTCACAAGGTCAGAGTTCTACCAAAACTGAAGTTTCAAGGTGTTCCTGGAAATCAGAAGTTTGCAAACGACCAGCAGAGCCTGGCATGTATGAGAAATTCCCATGAGAGCCCATCTCGGAGACAAGCAGCGATAAAAGCAGGATTTAAAGTCCCTGCACTGTGTCCCCCTCACAGCCACCACCACCCTGCTGTGCTGCCCTGGGTGGTGGGGCAAAAACATTTCTCCTCCCAAGGCAGAACACTGTTTTACGTGAGTAAAAGGAAAAGGCATCTGGGTATCACTGTCAGGAATCGCCCTGGATGCAGCACTGCGTGATTATCTTGTGAAAGGGAAAAAATAATACCACTTCACTGGTTAAGGAGAGTATTCTTCCTGTGGGTGGATAAGATCTCTCTCAAGTGAAAGACTCTGGTATTTATTATGTCAGATTATGGCACTTCAGTTACGGGTTCAGATTATAACAAAACTGCAAAAACAACCACTTACTAGATATTAATTTTATCTTACAGATTCTATTGTAAATGGGATACAGGCCCCTATGTATATACTACAGTCCTTAAAATAGCTCCATCTAAATGCAAATGCAGGCCTCTGTCTAACACAGAGCTGAAAGCCTTCCCATTAACACACCAAGAGATAGGGGAATTAATTTAATGCTTAAAAATTCCCAGGGATAAGAGGAACTTCTTTCTCTTCATATCTAGCATCATTTTCTCTTCATGGCCAAAGCACCCATAATACGATAATTTTTACCTTTCTCAAGCTTACTGAGGGAAAAAACAGCACAATCTCTCTCCAGGAATTGCTGTGCACTCCTGATCAAAACTCAGGTCTGCATATGCTTGGGAAGGGAAGCCCAGGGAAAGACAAAAGATGAAGATGACTTCCTCATATTTTGAAGGAAGATTGTTGGGATTTAATTACTCATCTTTGCAGATTAATCAGAAGCAGAGATAGTGCTTGACAGTGTTCATCTGTCACCAGCACCTCCTTTTTGACCTGCTCTTCCAGGTCTATCCCATGGGAGGCTCAGGCTGTACCCATCCCAACACACACAGAGTGAGAGCCTGAATTCTCTTTGGAGAACTTTGGTGATCACTCAGTGGCACGTGGAAGGTGCTGGCCTCCACTGAAACGAATCATAGAATACATAGATCCAACAGGATCAAAAATGGTTTGGGTTGCAAAGCGCCTTTAAAATCAGCAAGTTCCAAGCCCGTGGCATGGGCAGGGGTAGCACCCACCAGATGAGGTTAAGCAGTTCCTGGACATGCTGAAAGACTGCTGAAAGACAGACTGAAAAGATGCTGTAAAACTTCACACAAAAGTCACTGCCATAAAAACATCATTTTCCCCCAACCGCTCTTTTTACTTCATGGAACACAACAATTTCCAATTAATTCCTTAAATAGAGAAAACTTTATGAAATATTGACATTACCAATATTCTCACAGTAATTATTGTTCATAATTATTAAACAACATGGCACAAAATCCAGTGAGGCTTGTTCCTGATAACTAACCTTTTAGACTTAATTTACCTTCTGCTTTTACAGAGTCAAACATCTTTTAGAGCCTAAAAATTTCTGTTCTTCACAATTTTCACCAGGCTTTATATTAACAAGGACATTATGTGAAAGCAGGATTCTAGCTTCTCTGGGGCTTAGGGTTTTTATTCCTTTTGACTATTTTTCTAGCTCAAATGACATCAGATGATGAACTAAAATTGAAGATTGTACTTAATTCTGCTCTTGTTGAGGATCTGGCTTCAGAATGGGAAGTTGTTGTGGAAATCTTCCCTGACCCCAGCACTACAAATGTTTGCTTTGCAACACACAGGAATCTGGCCTCTCCCCATTCTCCTCAATTTTGGGCCTCATGGATTCCAGATTTGGCTCCACAGTAGAGCAAAAAAAATGTAACATAGAGCCTTTCAAACAGTCATTGCAAAGCACTCCAGCTTTACGAACAAGAACTCTTATTTATACCCAGGATCTAAGCTTGAAGGGATCTTAAAACATCAGAAAGAGTTGGTGAGAGCTTGAGACGTTTTCAGTGAAATGTGGGAGATAAAAAGAAGATTCAGGAAAACCACAGGATAAAAGCTAAAGGAAAAAATGCAATCCCAAAATAGCTCTGTTTGGAGTGCTCTTCTGGAAGAGTTATTATACTGTTCAGTATGGCAAAACATCAAAGAGGGAATATTTCAACCAAATTACTTGTGAGCTGAATTTCTAATCTTCTTCCAGATCATCCCAAGCTGCTGGTTTCCTTAATGTGGTCCCGTGGCCAAGCATGGCAGGGGAAGGCTCAAGTGGAGAAGGTTTTTTTGTGCCCCCAGCCTGGCTGCAGGGGCACAAAGCAGAGCTCTACAGCTGTCCTTGCCCACAGAGCTGCTGTCCCACTCCCAGCACACAGCCCTGTGCCCTGCAGCATCTCCAGCACTTTTGCTGGCTCCAGGCTTGAGGAGAAACTTGCCAAACCTCCCTAAATAGGATTTTCCTCTATTCCTAAAGACCAGAAGTCTTTTATTTACTTCAAGAAGCCCTAGTTGTGGCTTTAAATATGTGATATTATGGGTCAAGCTAAGGACCCATAATATTACAGGTTCTAGCCCAGGACATTGTCAGAAGTGGACTGAAACAGCTTTTCATCAACACAAATCCTGCTTCTTTGCATTCCTGTTTCTTCCTCGTGCCCCCCACTGCCTCTCTCTCTCTCATACCCCTGCCCTCATAGAGCGAGTCCTTGAGATTAACCACAACATGATTACAATTTAATTGAGGCCAGCTTAGTGTGGGGACATCCTTTTAACTCAGGAGGCCTCAATTCCACAGAACCATAATGAACTAATAATGAATGTGCTAAAGTCATTAAATCAAAATTCATAAAAGGGTGAATATTGCTTTCTTTTATAATAAAGCAATTAAAATCCCATATACTATAATAGATACTTACTAAGGTGCACTAAGTGTTCTTTAAGGAGGTTAGTGTTTAATGCCACCACACATGAATTTGGGGGATCTTTTCAAAATAGAACTGCCACACTATTAATAGATGATCAGAACTCTTTTTCATGTCTTCTCTGGTTCAGCATTATGCTGGGATCTAAGCACAAAACAGTTTATTGTTACTCACAAATCCACACAAGAGACAAATTCCTCTTAATGACAGAGTCACGAAAACCCAGAACTTTGAAGACTGCTAAGAAGAGAGATTGATGGAAAGCACATTCCCAGGGCAGGTGGGCAGGAGTGCCTGGATGAGGGAGAAGAGCAGATTGGCAGAAGAAGAATTATTAAATTGTACATGCTGGAGTAGGGGATTATCTGCAGAACATGATATAAGAACAGACAGATTAAAGGAACACTAAATATTTATTACAAAGTCCTTCATACATGCCATAGCTGCTGCTGAATAATACAGGCAACAGCCAGTTGCTGAGATTGCTCTCTGAGTTGGATAAAATAGAATTAGAGGCTTTTATCCACTGGAGACTATGTGCTGTTATACATAATAATCAAAATCACTCAGAAAAGAGGGAGAAATAGCTCAGTGATCATT